GGACCCTTCGGCCCCGCTGGCCGCGCACATGACCGCCCGCGCGCGCTGGCGCGCGCGTGCTCGCGTGCTCGCCTGGGTCCAACGCCTCCGCTCTAAGAGCAGAATCGTCGAGAACAGTCGGTCCCCTAATCCGCATAAGCACACGATGAAGGCGTGGCCTCACTGAGGTCCCCGTCTTCGCATCAGGGATGGTATCAGAGCGAGGTGGCCGAACGGTCATTCGCTGACCCTGAGCGCGTGGCTGAAGTGAAGTTCTGCGGTGCGGATTGTGTTTGTTGTGTTTGTTGTGTTTGTTGTGTTTGTTGTGTTTGTTGTTGTTGTTGTTGTTGTTGTTGTTGTTGTTGTTGTTGTTGTTGTTGCTGTTGCTGTTGCTGTTGTTGTTGTTGTTGTTGTTGTTGTTGCTGCTGCTGTTGTTGTTGGTGTTGGTGTTGTTGTTGTTGGTGTTGTTGTTGGTGTTGGTGTTGGTGTTGGTGTTGTGGTTGGTGGTGGTGTTGTTTGTGTTGTTATTGGTGCTGTTGTTGTTGCTGTTGCTGTCAGTGTCAGTACTGTTGTTGTTGTTGTTGTTGTTGTTGTTGTTGGTGTTGGTGTTGGTGTTGGTGTTGGTGTTGGTGTTGGTGTTGTTGTTGTTGATGATAGTATTGTTGTTGCTGCTGCTGTTGCTTCTGCTGTTGCTGCCGATGTTGTTGTTGCTGGTGATGCTGCTGCTGATGTTGTTGCTGCGATTGTTGTTGCTGCTCTTGTTGGTGTTGTTGTTGATTTTGCATTCTCATTTCTCATGAATAACTATTGTTGGTTTCCCTCCGGGGCACATGGTGTTTTGTCAATTGAAGTGCCCTTCCCGGGGCTCGCGCCTAGTTTTTCCTTTATTGCAAAGGAAAGGGAGGGGTCACCAAACTGGGCCCCTGGCCCCCGAGTTACAACAGCAACGGCTCCCGCCTGGAACTTCCTCTTCCCGAATCGCGCTGTCGTGCGGGACGTCTTCACACTCTATACATGAATTGCGTTCTCGCATGGGACCTCCTCGCCATTTATTCAGACGCCGTGCCCTCGACACTCAGACGTCACGCTCTCGCTGCGGATTTCCTCATGGTTTATTTGGGGATCGCGCTATCAATCGAGACTTCCTCGCGATTCATGCAGTAATCACGCTTAAAGGCGCCTGCTCGACCTGGCCGCTTGGGCCCGCCCGACCCGCCCGTTAGGGTCTACCCGCCCGTCTGGTTCTGCCACGTGTTTCTGCGCCCCCAACCTGCTAATCCCATGCTCCATCCTCCTCCCTCCCCCTTGTCCCTTTTCTTCCATCCATCCTCTCTTCCCCTGCCTTAGGGGCTGCACGAACAACGCGTTGTAGGCAAGAGCGATATATACGGCCATGGGGGAACGATCGAAGACGAAGAGGGCGGGTATCGAGGGTTTGGGATATACGTGTTGAATGGCACGCGAGCAAATAAGAGCGAACAGTCTTAACACGATTGTTGTCGCTGGTGCCGCTGCTGTTGTTATTGCTGTTGTGGTATGTATTGTTGTTGTTGCTGTTGCTGTTGCTGTTGCTGTTGTTATCGTTGTTGTTGTTGTTGTTGTTGTTGTTGCTGTTGTCGTTGTTGTTGTTGGGTATTCACGATTGAAGAACACATACTGTTGATCCCCCTCAGGGGCACATCGTGTCTTTTCTAAGTGCCCTTCCGGGGGCTCGCACCTTGTTCTTTATCAGGGAACAGTTTGGTCTCAGAATTGTGTTGTTGGTCCCTGGTTTGCAACAACAGCGGCTCCCGCCTGATACTTCCTCACAGTGTATTCCCGAATCGCGCTCTCGCGCGGGACGCCCTCACAATTTAGGCAGAAATCGCGTTCTCGCGTGGGACATCCTCACAATTGATTCAGACGCCGCGCCCTCGACACGCTGGAACCACGCCGCGGCCTCCACACTCAGGAATCACTCTCTCGCTTTGGCCTATCACGATTTACCTTAGAATCGTGCTATCGCTCGAGCTTCCCTCGCGATGCATGCAGGACTCACGCTTCAGCAACTCGCCTGCTCGACCTGGCCGCCTGGGCCCGCCTTGCCGACCCGCCCGTTAGGGTCTACCCGCCCGATCTGCCCGTCTGGTTCTGCCACGTGTTTTCTGCTCCTGGCCCCCCTCCTGCTTCTCTCTCTCTCTCTCTCTTGTGCTCCATCCTCCTCACTCCCCCTTGTCCCTTCCTTCCAACCGTCCTCTCTTCCCCTGCCGTAGGGTCTGCATCATAGACACGTTGCAGGTAAGAAATCCCCAAGGGGGTACGATCGAAGACGGGGAGGCCGGGTATCAAGGGTTTGGGATAGACGTATTGAATGGCGCGCGACCCAATCAGAATGAGCAGTCTTAACATGATTGTTGTTGCTGTTGCTGTTGCTGTTGCTGTTGTTGCTGTTGCATTGTTGTTGTCGTTGAACTTTCACGCTTGAAGAATGAATGCTGTTGGTCCCCCTCTCCGGGGCAAATCGTGTTTTTTTTATATTGAAGTGCCCTTCCCGGGGCTCGCACCTATTTTTATGTATATATATGGGGAAGTGTTGTGTGTGTGTGTTGTTGTTGTTGTTGTTGTTGTTGTTGTTGTTGTTGTTGTTTTTGTTGTTGCTGCTGCTGTTGTTGTTGGTGTTGTAATGGTTGTTGTTGTTGCTGCTGTTGTTGTTGTGGTCGTTGTTGTTGTTGCTGCTGTTGTTGTTGTTGTTGGTTGTTGGTTGTGTGATTATTTGTTTGTTTGTTTGTTTGTTTGTTTGTTTGTTTGTTTGTTGTTTGTTGTTGGTGCTGTTGTCGTCGTTGGTGTTGCTCTTGCGGTTGCTGTTGCTGATGTCGTTGTTGTTGTTGTTGTCGTCGTCGTCGTCGTCGTCGTCGTTGTTGTTGTTGTTGTTGTTGTTGCTGTTGCTGCTGCTGCTGCTGTTGATGTTGTGTTTGTTGTTGATGTTGTTGTTGGTTGTTGTCGTCTTCCCCCCTGCGGCCCAGCCCGCGACCCACCCGCGACCCGCCCGTGACCCACCCGCGATGCCCCCGCGACCCACCCGCGAGCCACACGAGGCCCGCCCTCGACCCGCCCGCGACTCGGCCCGCGACCCATCCCGCGACCCGCTTGCGGCGGGCTCGCTGCGTCATTTGTAGAAAGGTTAGGCGCGCCTGCGGCGGGCTTGCCGACGCAGAGTCTCGCAGACTGCCAACGTCCTCGCCACCCCCTCGCTCTTTGTCCGCATCTGCGGGGTGCTACGTGCATCTGTGCGGCCTGGTCTGAGGCACCCGCAGTGCAGACCCCCCCATCCCCGCTGTGTGTGGCCCTCCCAACTCGTGTCCCCTCCCGGAGGGTTACGGGTCCTAGCATTGCTACTCAGAGCAGAAGACATAATACACGGAAAAAACAAAACAACAACAACAACAAAAAAAAACATAACACACGTAGACGTTCGGAGGTCTGCGCGGAGCTCTTGGGCTGGGCGCTGGACCCCCCCCTGGCGGCGCCTCTGGCGCGCGAGGCGCGATCCGGGGGACGGAGGTCCCGCGCCGACCCGTGGGCATCTCCGAACGTGTAGATGCTTAGGCAATGCTTATCGCTCTGTGTTTGAGCCCGACGTGTCAGCTTCACGCGCATGGAGGTCCAGAGCCGCAAGCGACCCCTGTACGCCACCAGATGTCAGGAGGGAAAGAAACACACAGGCACAATTCATCGTCGACTCCCAGGAACATATGGAAAAGTATGGGAAGGGGGGGGGAAGACGGAAGCCCAGAAGGTATGGGAAAATATGGGGAATCCTGTTATTTGTGTCTATTTGTGTGTGTGTGTATGTGTGTGTGTGTATTTGTGTGTGTGTCCCTGGGCCCCTGCAAGATTGCCTGGCCAGTGCCGTCCTGGGCGCCGTGGTGGTATTTTGCAGGCCCTGGGTGCCTCTGCCGGGAGGGCGCAGGCACTGCAGCGCATGCACAACGCCAGGGCCCAGGGTGGCCCTGGCCAGGCACGATGGTGGTGATCCTCCTCCTCCTCCTCCTCCTCCTCCTCCTCCTCCTCCATCCTCCTCCTCCTCCTCCTCCTCCATCCTCCTCCTCGTCCATCCTCCTCCTTCTCCTCCTCCTCCTCGTCCATCCTCCTCCTCCTCCTCCTCCTCCTCCATCCTCCTCCATCCTCCTCCTCCTCCTCCTCCTCCTCGTCCTTCCTCCTCCTCCTCCTCCTTCTGCTGTCAGGGGTGGACAGACCTACCCTCACACGTCGATTCAGGAATTGGCCGTCTTCGCGTCGCGACAGGGCGTCGCGGCCGTCATTTTGCGGGTCCAGGTCCGTCGGCTTCGGTCCCAGGCCGTTTTCTCTAAGGGGAGGTTTACTAAAGGGAGGTTTATCCACCGCCGAGTGGTATCCAAGTGCTTTCTGGCACCCTGGGTATTGTCGGCCACGCGCAGAGGGGGGTCGTGGGAGGGGGGAAGGCTTCCTAGAAGCACCCCTGCTCCTCAGAAGGCGCAGGCGTTCTCTGTATATACAGGGCCAGCGCCTTCTAAGAAGCAGGGTGCTTCTGAGAAGCCTTCCCCCCTCCCCCCACCCCCTTGTGCGCGCCGCGAAGGTATCCGTATGCTTTCTGGCACCCTGGGTATTGGGCATGTTGCCATCACGAGCTCACGAGCCGAGGCCGCACAGCCCGTGGCAGAAAGCCCCTCGGCCACTCAGTCGAAGTGCTGGGCTCGTGGTGCCGATTTGCAGCGTGGCTTGAATTATGACTGGAAGAGAGACCCGATTGACATTGGAAGCTTCGAGGGAACATGTCCACCACGCACCGAGGTGTGCAACCGCACAACCTTTTGTGTTTCCCCACGATGCCTGATCGGAAGGAGGTTTGGGCCCCCACCTCAGCCATCACTTCGCCAACCTGTATTTGTCCATTGTGTTATCCCAGAGAAGGGCGATCATGATCTACAGGTAGGGTCTGACGGGGGCAAACCAGTGAACAAACATATGAGGGTTGTTATTGAGGTGCATCAAGATGCCGTCCAAAGCCTTTCTGGCTCATCGTTAGGGCGACGGGCAGCGGGTGCATCAACACCATGACAGCCCCTGGCGACCTCGTGTACGTCACGTGTGCGGACAGCAAGGATGTAGCCTTCTTGCCCGGCACGGTCTCGAGGACCGCTCTTTCTGTCAAAGTTTCTTCAGAAGGGCGTTGGCATGCGTTCTTTGTGCAGACTTCCGTGCTTGTAGGGGAACGAAAAGTGACATAAACATAAAAACTCAGAGGTCCGCACGGATTTCTCGGATCGGCGCTGGACCCCCCTCCCTGGCGCGCGGAGCGCGCCAGGGGCGGCGCCGGAGGCGCCGCCGGGGGGGCCCAGCGCCGATCCGAGAAATCCGCGCGGACCTCCGAGTTTTTCTGTTTATGTCACTTTTTGTTTCCCTATTTGTGCAGACTTCCACGCTTGGGCGCTTGAGCTCTCTTCTCGCGCAGGCGCTCGTGTGTGCTTGCCGAGCTGCTGTGGTTTCATGCGCGCATGGTGGCGACCTGCGCTTCAAGAGTGGGGCGTGCACGCGCACGTTGTGGGCTCGCGCGATCCGCCTATAGACTCGTTTCTCGGTCCACGGGTGCGCTCGCCCCTCGTTCCCACTCCTTCGACTAGACGTAAGAGTGACCCTTCGCCGGAGTGGCCTTTGATGCGGGCACATTGGGGTTCCCCGATCGCCAAAATCGATACGCTGGTAGCGTCTTGCGCGCCTGTGTTTGGTCACTCCGCGGCCCCACAAAAGCCGCGCACCAAAGGTCACTCTTACCCAGGTTCACTCTTGCGTGTAGCCGACTCCTTGGAACTGCATGCCTCCTAGCGGAGACGCCTCTCGTGAACCACCGCCGCCTCTGCCCTTGGTGGAAGGCGCCAGCGGCTGATCGTCGATGCAGGTCGCTCGCTCGCTTCTGGGTGCACTGCGATGCTTCCAAGGTTGCCGGGAGGGCTGGGGACTCACGTGGGTCCAGATGAGGGGTCCGAAGTTCAGGGCCCGGAGGCCCTGCCGGCGCACGGCACGCCAGGCGCCGGGCCCGCGAGGGCCTCCCGCGAGGGGGCCCGGCGGAGCTCGACGCTGCCACGGTCGGGGCGCGGAAGGATCTCAGGCAGTGGCTGACGAACGAACAACACGCAACCATACCTATAATCGGCGGCGGGCGCGGGGAGGAAATGAGAAGGGGCGGGACTTCCGAGGCTTCTGAGAAGTTTCTGGACTTCTGAGAGGGCTTCTGAGACGTTCTGTCTGTATTCGAAATAGGCCAAGGAAACGTCTCAGAAGCCCCCCGGACTTCTAAGAAGTCCCGCGGCCTTCTGAGAAGGCCTTCTCCTTCTCATTTCCCCTCTGGGCTCGTCGCCTATATAAGGAGGTCGGAGGGAGAAGGACTGGCTATGGGTATGGGTGCGGGTTGTCGGAACCCTGCGGAGGCTCCCGTTCGAGCGGGGACCCCCAGCCGACAGCACGCACCCATAGCTCATTCCGCCCCGCCCTATGGGTACGGGTGCGTGTTGATCGTTCGTCAGTGGCGAAGCGTCCTGGCTCGCCCATAGTCCTACCAAACAATGCTCCAAGAACCTTTTGGGGTTCCCGCGGAATGTTCTTTTAGATCATTCCTGGGCGGGACCGTCTTGTTTTACCACATCTGTTTCATGTTATGAGAACATTGTTCTTGTTCTCAGAACATGTGTGGGTTCTGGGAACGCTGCTACGGTCGGGGCTACGGTCGGGGCGCTGAAGAAGGAACCCTTTTTCGTTGGGGCGGGGCTCCGTGTTCCTTAGTTCGGCACGAACGAAATGGGTACGGAAAGAATGGGCACAATGCCCAACAGCGGTCCTGTTCATTTTGAACAGGACTCGCTGTTGGTGTCGCCTGTGTACATCTGAGACAGAAGGCCGCCTGCCCAACAGCGGCCGCTGTTGGTTTGGGGCAACATTTGTTGTTGGGCATTGTACCCATTTTTTCCGTACCCATTTCGGGCGTCGAAATTAATTGTTCCACGGCTTGCCCTGGAGTTTCCTTAGTTTATCGATAGGAAGGCGACGTTTAGCTTGTGGAAAACAGGCCTCGTTCATTATTGAGAGGTCCTTCGGTCAACGCCCCGACTGTACGGTCGGGGGCGGCCAAGAGGGGGGTGATGACTAGGGGGGGGATATCATGGCGTGGGCCATGGTCTGTCCTCAGACTTCATGGCGCCTCGTCTTATTTCATTCTGTGTCTGGCCCCCTTGGGCCGCGCACGTGCCGCCTGCCATGATTTGCGCCCCCTCCTCTTGGACGCCTTCTGTTGGCCACTCTCGAAGAGTGCCTCTGCGAAGGGGCCAGGAGGAGTTTGACGCTGCTACGGATCGGGGTGATGGGCCTGTTTTCCACCACCACCACCACAAGTTGGAGGGGGGAAGGAGGTGGAGGAGGAGGAGGAGGAGGAGGAGGAGGAAGATGAGGAGGCGGAGGAGGAGGAGGAGGAGGAGGAGGAGCAGGACCCACTCCCTCTCCTACTCGTGGTGGTGGCGGCGGAAAACAAGCCCACCAAACGGGGGTCAGCCAGGGCGCCGGATCTTGCAGGATCCTGCAGGGCCAGGGTCCATTTGTCCAGGCCAGCAGATCCCCGATACGGAGTCCTGGGCTTTCGTAGAACTGATTGCCCTGTGCTTGCTGGACGCTTCTGAAAAACGCTTGACAGTATCAGCGGGAAGTCGGTGGTGGTCAAGCTGGACCAGAGCAGCGAGTCCAGGGAGGTGCCTGTCGTCGAGCTCCGGAAGCGCTTCTCCCGCGACGACGGCAACACTAGCCAGGATGGCACCTCGAGACATTTGCTCAGTCCCGCTCGTTCCAATATGTGCCTGTTGCCGTCCAGTTGTGCACATGATTTACCGTACGTGGTCGCTGACTTGCTCTCTTCCTCTGTCTCTCTCTCTCTCTCTCTCTGTATTTCACCCTCTATGTACTTCTTGCTCGCTCTGCCGCTACAGCTGCCGATGGTGCACTGCCCGCTTTTGCTGCTGTTGCTGCTGCTGCTGCCCCTGATACCTACGTGGCCACGCCCGTACATCCCGTACTCCATTCGCGCCACATGTGGGGAACCCAATTTGCGATCTTGTTCCGCACGTTCGCATGGTGCCTCTTACCCATCGGTCGTTGAAAGTAGGTATTTCTAGGGTCCCAGATTCCAGTCAATCGAGTGGTTTCACCTTTTCCGTCCTCCTCAGGGGGCGGACGGAACCCAATCTATTTTCAACGCCGTCCTATGTCATGCTTCTACCTGCTTCCTCCGACCGATGGGCACTCGATCTGCGCAACAGGGGGAGCCCAATTTGCGATCCCACTCGGCACGCTCGCACGCTGCCCCCTTGTGGGGGCCCTGGAGGGTGTCGCCCGCAGTCCGTCTCTCGAGCCCACGTCCGCACTCCCCTTAGACACTGGGGCTGTCTGCCGGGAACCACGTGCGAACACAGACAGGAACTTTTTCGGAGGTCCGCGCCGATTTCTTGGATCGGCGCCGGGCCACCCCCTTCCTTGATGGGGCCTGCTTTCCGCCACCACCACCATAAGTTGGAGGGGGGAAGGAGGTGGAGGATGAGGAGGGTGAGGAGGAGGAAGGGGAGGAGGAGGAGGAGGAGGAGGAGGAGGAGGAGGAGGAGGACCACTCCCTCCCCCTCCTACTTGTGGTGGAGGTGATGGAAAACAAGCCCGCTGGGGGTGGCGCTGGAGGCGCCGCCACCGGTCTCCAGGGCCGATCAGACAGATCCGCGTGGATCTCCGACATGTTACGTTTATGCCATTGTTTCATCCCCCATGATGGGCCTGTTTTCCACCACCACCACCATAAGGCGGAGGGGGGAAGGAGGTGGAGGATGAGGAGGAGGAAGAAGAAGAGGGGGAGGAAGACCCCCTCCCCCCTCCTACTTATGGTGGTGGTGGTGGAAAACAGGCCCATCAGTTCAGGAGCGAAAGAAGGACGTACGCGTACATGAAGGAGTGTTCGTATCACGCGGCAGGTCTCGCGGGTCAGGGGGCCGTGTTCATGTACATAGCTGGGCGCGTACGCCCTTTGTGGGCTCCCTAATCGTTTCATCCCCTAGCCTGAACTCGGTGGCGAGCGAGGGGGGGGACTGAGAAGGAGAAGGCCTTCCCAGAAGGCGGCGGGGCTTCTCAGAATCCCTCTGGCCTTCCGAGGACGTTTTTTGCGCCTTCGGGTAATTCTTAGAACACTGATCAGAAGGCCGGGGTGCTTCGAGCCTTCTGAGAAGGCCCGCCCCTTATGAAGGTCTCAAGCTGTCGGAGGGCCCTCCCCCCCACACACACGCACACACACACACACACACACGCGCACGCCCACACGCACGCACGCATGCACGCACGCACGCACGCACGCACGCACGCACACACACACACACGCACCCACGCACCCACGTACCAACGCACCCACTCACCCACACCCACGCACACACCTAGACGCAGACTCACGCACGCACGCGCGCACGCACACACACACACACACACACGCACACACGCACACACACCACACACCACACACCACACACCACACACCTCGCACCACACACCACACAACACACAACACACACCGCACGATACACACCACACAACACACACCACACAACACACAAACCACAACAGACAGCACACAGCACACAACACATAGCACACACCACACACCACACACCACACTTCCCACAACACACACCACACAACACACACCAGACAGCACACCACACAACAGATACCACACAACACACACCACACAACACACAACACACACCACAACCCACAACACACAACACACAGCACACACTGCACAACACACACCACACACACCACACACCACACACCACACACCACACGATACACAACACACAACACACACCATACACAACACACCACACACAACACACAACACACACAGCACACAGCACACAGCACACACCACGCACCACACACCAGACACCACACAGCACACACCACACACCACACAGTACACAACACACAGCACACACTACACCCAACACACAACACACACTACACAAAACACACACACACCACACAACACACAACACACCACACACAACACACACACAGCACGCCACACAGCACACAACACACACCACACAACACACAACACACAACACACCACACCACACACCACACACAGCACCCAACACACAACACACACAACACACAACACACAACACGCAACGCGCAACACGCACGCACGCACGCACGCGCACGCACGCACGCACGCACGCGCTCGCACGCGCCCACACGCACCCACACGCACCCACACGAATTCACACGCACACCCACACACACACCCACACACCCCCACACGCACACACCCACACGCACCCACACGCACCGACACGCACCCACACGCACCCACACTCGCCCACACGCACCCACACGCACCCACACGCACCCACACCACCCACACCCACCCACACACCACACACACCCACACACCCACACACACCCACACACCCACACGCACCCCCCCATACACCCACACACACCCACACACACCCAAACACCACCACACACACACCCACACACCCACACACACACACCCCACACACACCCACATACACCAACACACCACACACCCACACACACACACACACACACACACACACCCACACACACACACACACCACAACACACCACACACACACACACCCACCCACACACACCCACACACACCACACACACACACCCACACACTCACCCACACACACCCACATACACCAACACACCCACACGTACCCACACACACGCACACACCCCACCCACACACACACACACCCATACACACCCACACACACACCACACACACCCACACACACACACACACACACACACACCCCACACACCCCACACACCCACACACCCACACCCCACACCCCCACACACCCACACACCCACACGCCCACACACCCACACCCACACCCACACACGCACACACCCACACACCCAAACACCCACACACCCACACATGCACACACGCGCACCCGCACACCCGCACATCCGCACACCCGCACACACGCACACCCGCACACACGCACACACGCACACACGCACACACGCACACACGCACACACGCGCACATGCGCACACGCGCGCACACACGCGCACACGCGCACACCCGCACACGCGCACACGCGCACACACACCACACGCACACGCACATACGCACACACACAACACACACCACACACCACACACCACACACCACACACCTCACACCACACACCACACAACACACAACACGCAACACAACACACAACACACACCACACATCACACAACACACACCACACAACATACAGTATACAACACACAGCACATAGCACAAACCACACACCACACCAAACTACCACACGCCACACAACACACAACACACACCACCCATCACACAGCACACGACACACACCACACAACACACAACACACAACACACACACCCCACATCACACAACACGCAACCCACACCACACAACACACAACACGCAACACACAATACACACCACACACCACACACCACACGATACACAACACACAACACACAACACACACCACACACAACACACCACACACCACACAACACACAACACACAACACACCCACACACAGCGCACACCACGCACCACACACCAGACACCACACAGCACACACACCACACACCATGCAGTACACAACACACAACCCACCACACACGGCACACAACACACAACACACAACACACACACACACCACACAACACACAACACACAACACACACCACACCACACGACACACACCACACACCACACATCACACAACACACCACACCACACACCACACACCACACCCAACACACAACACACAACACACAACACGCAACACGCAACACGCAACACGCACGCACGCAAGCACGCGAACGCACGCGCGCACGCACGCGCTCGCCCGCGCCCACACGCACCCACACACACCCACCCCAATCCACACGCACATCCACACACACGCACACACACCCACACACACACACCCTCACGCACCCACACGCACCGACACGCACCCACACGCACCCACACTCGCCCACACGGACCCACACGCACCCACACGCACCCGCACACACCCACACGCACCCACACGCACCCACACGCACCCACACGCACACCCACACCCACCCACACACACCCACACACATCCACACACACCCAAACACACCCACACACACACCCACACACACCCACACACACCCACCCACTCACACCACACACCCACATACACCAACTCACCCACACGCACCCCACACACACGCACACACCCACACACACCCACACACACACACCCATACACACCCACACACACACACCCACACACACCCGCACACCCACACACACTCCCACACACACACCCACACACACCCACACACACGCACACACCCACACACACACCCACACACCCACATACCCACACACCCACACACCCACACCCACACACGCACGCACCCACGCACCCAAACACCGACACACCCACACATGCACACACGCGCACCCGCACACCCGCACACCCGCACACACACCGCACACACGCACACACGCACACGCGCACACGCGCACACGCGCACACGCGCACACGCGCACACGCGCACACGCGCACACGCGCACACGCGCACACGCGCACACGCGCACACGCGCACACGCGCACACGCGCACACGCACACACACGCACACACACGCGCACGCGCACGCGCGCGCACGCGCGCACAATGCCGCCCATCAAAGCTGCAGCGAGGGGGGGCATGCCCCGAGACGTGCGCCCCGTCGCGGAGGACAACACGGCGCTCGTGCACCTCAACGACGCCACCATCCTCGAAAACCTCGAGGCGGCCCGCGCCCTTTCTTCACTCGACAGAAGAAAATCTCCATGAGCAGAACTTTTGAAGCTCCTCTATTCACCGCCTTGGCATCGCTCGGACGTGTGCATTGTTTCTCGGCGGAAGCCATCGAGGACCATCCTGGACCATCGAGCAAGAACAAAAGCACGCACGAAACCGAACAGTGCACGGGAAATGGACGTCCGAGGGACGGCAGGCCGCCGCAGTCTCCCGTAGGACCCTCCAACTCGTGCCTCGCGGCGCGGTGGCCGATGAGACGCCCTGCTCGAATCCCCCTCCTTACCGTTCTCCTTCTCACGGGTCCTGCCCACCTGCGCTCCAAGGGCGGGGTTCGCCGAGCGGGGCTAGGACAAGGATCAATCCAGTCCATAGCGTTCCAGGACGCCGTCAGCGCGTTCTGGAACGCTTTGAGGAGGCCGCGGCGCCCGAGGCATCCTCCAGAGCCGCCGGATGGCAGACATGCTCATTTTCTCATCCGAATCTGTCTTCGTCTTGGCTCCGTCTTTGTTCGTGGTTCTGTCGGGTTTCTTCCTCTGCTCACCGCCGTGGTCTTGGAGCCGATCGCTCCCCCAACGGGCTCGTCGCTCCCTGTCGTGCCTCCTTCTCTTCCCTGATGCGCGGCGGTAGTTTCGCGAGCATATGGGCACGCCGCCGACCGGGGGGCCCTCAGAACTCGTCTTTGAGGACATTCGCGGGGAAGGCCTGCACGATGGTCTTGGCCAACTTCGCTTTCACCGTGACGACTTTGCTAAATATTTCCCGCTTCCCGGCGCGGCGGCCCCGCCTGTCGCAGAGCCACAGATGGGTGTTCGCTTGCTCGCTCCCATCGGGGGTTGCCAGAGAAGTGCCTGTCGCCGAGTTGCTAATTCAATCCCGGGTGGAGGAAAGTGTTTCAGCATCGTTCGGACGTGTGCATTTTTGTTCGGCGATGCCAGCGCCAGAAAGTCCCGACCATCTCGGACCATCTCGGAGCATTTTGGGTCATCAAGCGAAGCAAAAACATGCCCGAAACCAAAACATGCACGGGGAGTGGGCGTCCGTGCGATGGCAAGGAGTGTGGTGGACTCGTCAAGATGAGTTCTGCGACCTGTTCGCGCGGGGCACGCACTGGATTGTCCCGATAGCACAGGGTTGTTCGGTAGCAGTTCGTGCGAACCTTGTATACCTTCGCAATTCCGTTTTTAGAGTTCCACTGGTGCCGACCACCGCTTGGTAGTCGATGAAGTAGCGCTGATTCAGCGTCGATCAGCGTCGACCCACATTCGATTTAGCGTCGACTCGTGTCGATTGGCGCCAATTCGCGTCTGTTCATGGTGTGGGAGGGCCCCCGCGAGCTGCCACCGAAAACGGGGGGGGGCCAGCAAGCGTGGGGGGCCCCGAACGGCCGACGATGGCAGGAAGGCTGCCCCGAAAAGAGGCCCCGAGCGGCCCCGAAGAAGCCCGCCCACCGCCGCGGGCCCAAACCAGCGGGGCGCGGGCGGGGCACGATCGGGGGACGAAATCTATACATATCCACTGCTCCCTGGCCAGGCCCATTCTGAACCCAGGAGCTGTGTATACGCCCTCCTGGCCAAACCAGGAGGGCGTGGCGTATACACAGCTGCTGTGTTCAGGATGGGCCTGGCCAGGGAGCAGTGGATATGTATAGATTGTGTCGCCCTACACGAGCGGGGCACGAGCGGGGCGCTTCTATCTCTGCTGTTTTCTTCGCCGCCCGTCTGGTGCCACCTCGTGGTGGTCGGACGAGATCGAGGCCGGCTCGGGGACGGTGCTCTGATTCGGGGGTGGACCGAACCCCCACCCTGACACGTCGAATGGCGAACTGTCCGTTTCCCGTTCTCGAGAGGGCGCCGCGGCCGTTATTTTCCAGGCTTGCGCCCGCCAGGTTTGGCCCCGAAGTCGTTTTCACTAAACCACGTTTTGCTAAAGGGGGTTCTGTCCAGCCGCGACTGATGCTCCTCGTGCTGGTCGACCGCAAAAACCAACGCGATACCACCCCACCTCGGGCCCTCCATGTTGCGCTACGGCCTGTCGGGGGACGTCGCGTGTACCACGCAAAAACCCAGGCCGGGGTTCATGGTACTTGCTAAGGCCGGTGGCGCCCTAGATGGAGTGGTGTCGGTTCTTTTTTGGTCCAGTTTGTTGGATGTTCTGGTGGAGGGCGCCCTGGAATGTTCTTCAGTTTGGGCCGGTGGAGGGCCTCATGTTATTGGAGGATGTTTGTCTGTCCCAGGTCCTGCTGTAGTCAACACCCGTCCTGGCATTGACCATCAGGGCCCCCGAAGCGAGGACACTGCAGGCCAGGGCTCGCAAAAATCCAGCTGGACGGCATGACCTGGGATCGCTCGGACGTGTGCATTTTTTTCTCGGCGAGGACCGTTGAGCAGGGCTCACTTTGCTTCCTCCGATTCGATTCGATTTCGATGGATTGTTCCGATTCCGATCCGATTCGGCTTCGGATTTCGATTTGGGATCCGAGTCTTCAACAGAGACCTGCAAGCCTGCGGATGTCTGCTGATTCGACCTCTCCCGATTCGGCTGCCGATTTCCGCCGATCCGCTTCACTTCGAATCTCTATCCGACTCGTCGATTCGATTCTTGGCGCTCCTATCGTTGAGGAGCCTCTCGGGCCAGCTGGCGAGACACACACACACAAACACACACAAACACACACACAAACAAACACAAACACACACAAACACACACACAGACACACACACACACACGCACACACAAACACGCACAAACACACAGACACACAAACACACACACAAACACACAGACACACAGACACACACACACACCCACACCCACACCCACACCCACACCCACACTCACACCCACACGCACACGCACACGCACACGCACACGCACACGCACACGCACACGCACGCGCACACGCACACGCACACGCACACGCACACGCACCGCACACGCACACGCACACGCACACGCACACGCACACGCACACGCACACACACACGAACACGCACACGCACACGCACACGCACGTGCACACGCACACGCACACGCACACGCACACGCACCCGCACACGCACACCCACACCCACACGCACACGCACACCCACACCCACACCCACACCCACCCACA